AATAAAATAAAACAAAATAAAATAAAATAAATAAAATAAAATAAAATAAAACAAAATATTATAACATAAAAAATAGAGTAAAAAAATTAAACTGAATTAGATTAAATAAAGTAAACTAGAGTAAAGTAAGATTCTATAATATTAAATTAAATTATACTAAAATAAAATAAGAATAATTAAATAAAACTAATGAAAAATTAAATAAAATGAAATAAAAAAAAATTAAATTAAATTAAACTAAATAAAGTTAAATTGATGTAAATTAACAATATTAATTAAAATAAGTCAAATAAAAAAATTAAATTAACCAAAGTAAATTTAACACTACTGAATCAAAGCATGCACCACAAATTGATTCCGTTGAATACGTAGCATAAGTATTTATGTATGAATGTATTGATGTACATAAGTATTTATGTATGAATGTCTAGATAATTTTTGTTACGCCTAACGTCAAATCGATTTCGATGCTAACATATTATATAGTGAGGTAAGTCGGAATGCACTTGTGCGTATGACGTTGCACTTCACTGTATGTGCATACTATATACGAGTATGTGTGCATATATCAGGAAATATTATAACGTACTTGCAGGCTTTCTATTGTCCGGTAGCTGCACGCATGCGCTCCACTCCTTGCGCTTGCCACGTTGCAGTCGCACGTCGTCAACCACAATCGCGCTGCCACACAACAAAAAGGCCAATACTTTTCTTTTGTGTTCACCTCTACCGCAACGCTTTGATTATGGCTCGGTCTGCGTGGTTGTAGCCTTTGCTGCGCTCCTGCACAGATTCATGCTATGCACTCGCACAACCACATAAACGTGATAATATTTCAAACAACAACAATGCATTTGAATTCAACTATTAATAGTTGGTTACATTGCAAGAAGTTGACTGTCAAGGAATTTTTTCTTGGTCAATAGTAACTAACAACTTGTGGCAAGGCGTGAGGACAGTGACCTCTTACCCACGCAGGCACAGGTTTTCATCGAACATGCATGGGTTTGTATGAAAATATTTAGATGTGTTTGTGTTGGTGTTGTTTACGTTAGGAGTTCTTTCCGTCAATGCAGCGGTAATCTAACGTAAACATAGATAGATGTTAAGGTTGTACATATGCACGAGTGCATACAAATATACATATTTACATCCGCATACGTTGGTGTTTGTGGGAGTGCCAGTGTTTTATTTTTATAAGCAAACATTAAAGTTTTGGGCGCTGCTTACACTATATTTATCGAAGTGTATACATACACAAACGTATGAGTATATATAATATTATATGTGCAGCATCAAAGTCAGTTATGTATCTAACTGCGAGAAAAAAACACTGTTATTGTACCATAATAAATATTTGCTTATCTCTACCGTGAATCAGTTGCGTTGAAACAGAGATCTACGTAGAGGTGAGTGCATTCATCTTCATACACATACATACATACATACATACATGCATAGTAAATAAATAAATACATACGTGTATGTCGTCCATATATATATATTTCCTGTGTTAGTTTTGAAGACATCTTCAACATTGTTCTTTCCAAACACATTTTCTGAGCAAACATTTATCTATAACACGCTAAATGAAAATTTTTGACTTTGTACATGAATGGGCAAGATATAGATTGGGCCTCTTCAAATAAGCTGACTCTTCCATTGTAGATAAAATGAAAAGTTATAGAAACTCTGGCCAGGCTCAGAATTACAATACAAGACTGCTTAGAAGCCTAATTTTGTTATCCATTATGTGTTGCACGTAGACAAGAAACTCCGCCTTCGAAAAAGAAAGCTTTCTTTCTGATCATTTAAACTTCAATTCAATCAAATTTTGCTTGGTGATTATAGCAGCATCTGGCGTGGGATTTAGTTTTACATTTTTAAAGAATCAGTCAGAACTTATTATCACCTTTCTCTCCTTCGTGAGTAACATTCTCAAGCATTAGAACTCAACGATCTCTCACTTAAAATCCTTACAGCGTTGCAAATGATTCGCTCACGTTAAATATTTTTTCCTCAGACACGTTCCTTCAGCCCCTCATCTGTTCAATGAACAGGGGTGGAGATGAGGAACTTAGGTAGGTTGGTAGGGAGAGCCTTTGAAGGCGCTTTTTGAAACCATTAGGTCAGATGATCTCTCACACTACCATGTTTTCCTTGAATTACCCTGTGGTCTTAATTAAGCTAAACAGTTTAATAAGTAAGGAACTTCTGAGATATCGTCGAGAATAGTTACGAATCTTTTCCTGTAGAATTATTTATAGCCGCATATAAGATGTTTTACCGTCGCTTCTTCTTCGATCTTCCGGCAAACCTTTGCAATAATCATTGTATGGTAACCCTAATCTACCGGCGTGTCTACCAATATGACAGTGGGCTGCTAGCAGTTTCTTTTAGATTTAAAAAATTGACTTCACACAATCCTGATATCCTTGACATGTTTATCAAAAAAATATTTTTGTATATATTGCCTCTTAACCTGGAACTAATTGTGAAGTGGTGATCAAGCTTTCTAATTCATCTACCTCACAGTTACTTTGAATATTCCTAGGTTCTGAAGTCCAGTGAAGTTATTCGATTCTCTCTTCTCTTTTTCACTTCCTTTGATGCAACTTTGAATTACTTTAGTGATTCCATAGTGGCTTGGCTACTTGTGTATATACGTGTATATAAGTATTTTTAAAGTAAGAACCGTCTTTGTCAAAACCAGCGCACTCTCTTTAATTACCGCAATCTCCGCCTGAAAAATAAGACAGTGATCTGGTAAACGCATGGCGATTCTGGTACCTATATTTATCGAAAAGACACCACTTCCTACGCGATTTGGAACCCTCTGTATAGATGGTAGTCTACTTAGGCTGAGTGCCGACTTTGCAGTCAGATGCTTGCAGTATAAGTCTAAAGGCAGCTAATGTAATATAATATTTAGTGTCTGAGTCGGCGTTGCTCCAAGAACACCACTAATACTTGTGTTATCAGGTCTTTGTAGGTTTTCCATACTCTTCAGCTCGTATGTCCCTTCTATTATTGGACACCAAACCAATATGGAACAATCCGTATGTGGCCCCACCATCAAGTTACAAGTTTTTTAATGCTCGCATTTAAGCTTAAGTCGCATGATTCGGCCCAGCGATTTATATCATCATAAGATTGGTAAGGCTATCCGGCAATTTCTCCCTCACCAAAACAGCCACATCGTCTGCCCGAGCCTCAATATGGACTTCCTTCCTTTCTAGATACAACAAAAATTTGTTCATTGTTAGGATTTGGAGAAGAGGGAATAACACGGCAGCACATTGTGGAACTAAGTTTGCCAACCAAAGGATCTCTGGTGGTGAATCAGGCACTTGGAACCAAAAACTATTTCAGCAGGACTTACAGTTAATACTGATAGATCAGATAAGGCTCTATGCCCAAGGAAATACAATACGGGTATCTGGTAATTGTGTTAGATAGAAAGTTAACGCGGAGGCGCAATGAAGAAGATCGGCGGAAGAAGACCTCATCAAGGTATATATATTTATTTATATAAAAGGATATTTATCTGCACTTGTGATCTCTGCAGCGCTCACTGGAATTTCGTTGCGACTGTTAATGTAACACATTTATACAGTCTTTTAATAAGGTGAAAATCTATGGACAACATCTGGATAAGCTATAAAGGATCTTCAGACTTTCAATATTCAGCATCAATGGGGCACTCAAAAGAACACCATATGCGATTTCGAGCATTTCCCTCAGCAAATATAACGGTTAAAACAGGTCATTCCTAACAGCTGTGAGGCTATATACGCTTCTAGGCAGCTGAAAGTCAGAGCGCGTAGACTGCGTTATCCCTCGACTCTCTCAAATCTCTTCATATTTTTACAGATGGTTCTAAAATTAAGGAAGGCTCATCAAATGCCAACCTATGCATGTAGGGATATTGCCAATTATGCTGGTCTTAAGTTATTTTTTTTAGGTATATCTATTAATTGTTCTAACGTTGATAATAAAAAAAGGACAGACTAACTGGTCTAAGTGTCAGAATTACTTTCGGAGAGGTTGACCCTCCTTGCCGAGGGACGAGCGCAATAATAAAATTTTACTTAATTTTTTATTGACATTAATTTTCTATAACTATTTGGATGTTGGTTGATCCAGGATGAAGAAGTAAAGCTTAATTGCAGCACTCCTATGAAGCTAACTTCTAACCAGACTGATAACAATGGTATTTATTCCAAGACAAATTCATATTCCACCTACAAACTAAACCACTGATTTTGAAGGGTGTCTATTGCCTGATAGCATAGGATTTTCTGTGATGTGAGCCGGGGACCATTCTGTTCGAAAAATTTGAAATTACCATTTGATTTACATAAAATTTGGTGCACAGGTACCTTTGGGCCTAAATTAATATGGAGAATCCTTTTTCATCCGGAAAGCACGTCTGGGATCCATTGGCTGGCTCGGTTTTGCTTAATATGTGGATCATATATACTCGTATGTAAGTGACTTTTTGTCAGAGTTAATATGTCGAGAAGTTTCATTTCTGGAAGTGAGAGATCGAGACTGATCTTTTTGAAACATGGTTTTTGTAGTTCAAGTTGTTTGATATCAGGAACATAGATGCCTCTTGGACTATTTTAAAATGTGGAAAACTCTTTTACATAGACCGATCTACCTCAAAGAACTTTAGTTAACTCGATACGCTTGAAATTTTGAAAATTCTTCTTTTTCTCTCTAACGGTTTACGTCGTACGCCTACTTTAATTTTCAATAAAAGAAATAACTTAAATTTGTTTTTATGCGCTTTTTTCTACTTTTCGTTTGTTTAATAAATTCGAGATATTACGGTATGGCATTTCAAACAGTAAAGTTAGTGGAAAGCATAGTAAATACAGCACGACCACTAGACCGATGAACAGCAAGATCTGAAAAAAGGAATCTTAAGGTGAGACATTACCTAAAATGAAAATAAAAGCTTATTTCTAATGATTCTTTCCACAGTAACTCACCATCCTGATCGGTTCAACGAACACCACTTTGTTACCCACACTGAAAGCGCAAACTATAAGCAATGAGTTCAGCAGAGACAAGGCGTAGGACATATGAATTGCGCTCTGAAAAACTTGAAGGCTCAATAAACGGCGATACCAAGAAAGGTGATTGTTGGCCAGAGCCAAAACCGTCCAACAACCACTCCATGTGTAACAACAACGTTGCAGCGCGAATATGAAACTTTCCACACGCACCGAATAACCACGTCCCAGGGGCGCGGCTTGCGTACAGATAGCGAAGAGTAGAAGTATGAGATGACTAAAGAAATTATTCAATAGTTTATGAGACAGAAGTTCACTTTTATATTCCACATAAAGCCAACAAGTCAGTGCGCCACTGAGATAAGGAAAGATGCGCACAAGTGGATGCATATAAAGTTGGGTGAAGTGCGTGAATGTGGTCTCCAGCGATATTTGGAAGTTCAATTGCAGTGCCACAAGCGTTTGATAAGCCACGGAACTGGTTAGTAGTAGTAAGAGTGACATTTTTGCGAACTTTGGCTTTCTGAAAGAGGAGAGTGTAAATAAATGGAGTGTCTTTGCTTCGTATTTTCATTTACTTGGCATAAATCACCAAAAGCGTTGTTAAAATCGCTGCAAACTGCATCTCACAGGATAAATACCAGGTCCATATAAGACAAATATTTTTGTAGTGAAAGAAATTGTGTATGAAGAACACATTTTGCCACCAATTCTGCTCACATTTCTCCGCCAAAACTCCTGCTGTGTGAAAAACTGTTGTGTTATCCAAGTAATGGAGCGTCAAATGGGACACGCAGATCATAAAATAATAGAGTGGCGCTAATCTATAAAAATTTTGAAATGAAATTGAGTTATATTTGAATTTTTAAATAAAACTTACTTTCTTAATTTCATAACATTACAAAAAAAAAAAAATAAAATTAAATAAAAGGTGTTTGTTTTAGACATGTTGATCTTTTGGATGGCTGTTATTTCAGTCATACTCAGTTTAATTTACCATTTGACTTCCATACTCAGCCGGTCGGTAATTCGCACAACCATGTAACGGGGTCACACCACACACATTGCGTACAGAACACGCTATTGCCTCTTTGGAGCGGAGTATCGAAACATACCCGTATAAGTCGCTCCGCTATCCCGCTCAAGAATTGGAGCTTTGCCCACCCACTTTATGGAATATTTTGCGGATGGACTGTTGTTTGCGGGCTTACAAAATCCAAATATCTGCAAGAATAGAAGCCGAACTCCATTAAGCACGTCGCACGTGATGGTCAGCGCTACCGATTTTCTCAAAAAACTTTTTTCAGTGAAGAAGCTCACCATTTGTTGAGTGAGTGTATACTGGTATATATATAAATATATATATATCGGCGCTTTGTAACCGCTAAAGCGATTTTCGGCCGAGCTCCTCTTCCAATTGGTGGTTTTACGTTTTGATGTTTCTTCAACATATGGAGGAACCCAGTCTGAATCAAAATTTTAGTGACGAAAATATCATTATGAGAAATTTTTCTGAAAATACTGTGGCCGGTGAATTCAAGATAAAAAAAAAGCCGCTTGCAGCAACTACTTGATGGAAACTTCATTAAATGGAATCAAAATATAATTTAAATGCCATTTTGAATATCCTGCTCTTCCGGTAGATGTCACTTCTGAAGCTGTTATTTTTTTGAAATTTGGCAAATAAAAACTAAGCCAGTAAGAAAAATGGAAGGATACATGCTTCCACAATGCATTGAAATCATTAAAATTAACTATAAAAATTTCATTGAAAAATCATCTTGACTGATGAGGCCCATTTCCACTCGATGGTTACGTCAGTAAGCAACTCTGTCGCACCTGGGGCTCGAAAAAACCAAGATTTATTGTTGAAAAGCCTCTCCATTCTCAACGTCTAACTGTTTGGAGAGGTTTATGGTTGTTTGGGTAATTGGACCTTACTTTTTCGAAAGCCCTGTCGAGAAATGAGGGCAAGGCGGCGGTACGTGCCACACAAGAAACGAAACCATCGATCTTTAGAGAGAAAATTTTCTTTGAAGATCAAAATAACACCTCCTATTGGAAATCCCAGTATATGTCCGTCACTCATCTGGATCAAGACGAAGTGATGCTATCATTAACTAGACAAGGAATGAAGAAATCCGATTTTTATGACAAACCTAGGTGGTTTGGATCAAATAAAACAATATAATTAGTTTGCCAGTGGGTTTATTCTTTGCAAGAGAGAACATCTCTATAGTTGCACAAATCTTTGTATACATATTGGAACTGTCTTCTATTCTGAAGAAGTACGCTTCGTATTCTTAGCCTGGTGGCAAAGGACAAGGGCTACTAAGATTTATCAAGGTATCTGTTGGATGTATTGGGAATAATTTCAGAAATGATATATTAGTTTAAAAGAACTTAACTTTTGCTACAGAACATAACTACAGCGGCATGATTTGATAAAAATACTGGGGGTTTTAAAAGTGTTTGTGAGGAAACTCTTTCTCATTTTATTACGTGACAATTCTAGTCCACAAATCCTTTTGAAAAAATTTCAGTCCCCATATTTCCAGCAATTTCTAACAACTTACTTATGTACAAGGTGTGACAATTAAGTAATGAGATTGGCTCCGTAAAAGCCGTATATTTCAATATTATTCTACAACTCTGCCATCCCTTTCAAATTAGTCCCCTTGGGCTACTATACAACGATTCCAGCGCGTTTTTCATGCTTCGTGACATTTCTGGAGCGCTTCGACTGGGATGTTCGTAAGTACTCTTCTCACGGCCGCCTGGATGTCCTCAAACGACTCAAAATTGGTTCCTTTGGCCACTGATTTGGTTCTAGGGAACAAAAAAAATCACGGGGTGACATATCGATCGAATAAGGTGGTTGCTGCAACAAGGCGATCCCTTTAGAATCCGAATACTGGGGCACACTGAGGGCGGTGTGGCACGGCGCGTTGTCGTAATGAAGGATCCAGTTACAAGCGATGTCTGGGTGCACCGTGTTGACTCGTTTTCGGAAAATTTAAAGTACTTGGCAGTGGAAGAAATTCTTTTTGGACTCAAAAAAGGCAATAATCATCGTTTTCACCTTCGACTTGCTCATGCGAGCTTTCACGCTTTTACGCTTCTCCTTAAACTCAATGGGGAGGAGAAGGATGCCGGGAGAAAGGAAAGGGAATTACAGTGGTACCGCAATCGGGACTATATAATCCGTCTCATTACTTAATTGTCACACCTCGTAGTATACATAGTTGATGATACATAGTTGAGACACACTTTTAAGTACCGATTTAATAAATGCAGAAATACTAATTTTTGTGAGAATTTAGATGCCGAAAGTGTGGATTGATTGATTACAATAGCAACGAGTAATAGAAATAATTATGTATATTTAGTACCTTCACTGATGTAGCTATGTGAGAGTAGCACCTGCTAAGAGCTCGAGATCGTGACTTTAAATCCCGACCTAGCCAACACATGAACTACATTTTAGTTAATTTAGCGGTGTCTCGGAAAGTAGTGTCAGCATTGTTATGAGTATTTCCCTATAATATGTAGTTGGTAAAAGTTTTGGTTTCATTTTGCAAATTTAACCGAGTTAATCGAAGGACTTATAGCTTTAACATTAGTACTAGGTAAAGAGGATATTACCTGAGATAACGATGAATGAGTGTTCTCGGGACTTCCAAAACACTTTGAATGATGCTTGATTTTCGTATGTTGTCCACTCGATTGCGATTTTGTAGAAAAGTAAAGACTTGTAGAAATCCGCTGGTAGCAAAAATGGGTTATATGCAGGAAAACTTATAGTTACGGTAGGCTTGAAAACAAACCTGATTAAAAAAAATACATCCATGGCTACGTCCATATTGCCAATATTACTGGCGTACATAAATACTTGCACCGGATTGCTGACAATCGCGTTTAATAGTATGAATGTATGAAAAAATGTTGCAATAAGAGCGCTTACAACACGACCACCATTCAAGAATGCGAATGTCTTCGACGAAGTATCTGACCAAGCGAAAATCGTAGAACAATTTAATTGCAGATCATAACAAAGTATAAATTCCACTAACTTTGTTGGCGCTTCATTGGTCTGCTGGTTTCGCTGGTTTCTGGAAGCAACTGAAGTTCCCCCTGAATTTGTACTTTGTTGTCTATAGCGCAGACAATAAGCACAGCTGGACATTAGCAGTGTGTAGACGACAAATATCGCCAACAACTTAAAGTGTAACAAATCGTAGAAGGCAAAAGCCTTAAACCCCAACTCTTTCACGCGCAGCACACGTGGTTTAAGTCCATGTAGATCATTACTATGAAATAATTCACTCTTCAAATAGACACTTAGCAGCCGCACCAAATCCTCCGAGCTACATTCGATTGGAGCACATAGGCCGAGATGTATGACAGGCTGTACCTGCGCAAAGACCACATCAACTTGATGCACTGAGTTATGTTCCAAGTAGGCAACGCGGTAGCGAACAGCGTATGGTGGTTTTTCCGTCAATAGCGACAAGTTCATTTTATGCTCCACAAACCGAGAAACGGGTAAGTGTAAACCAGTGTGCGCTGCTTCGCATAAAGCACTGCTACCCAGCCATAAATTATCGCCAACCATAAATGCCGGTGGTTTGCTGCCTGATGAGTCCAGCACTGCAAAGAATTTGTACTTAAAGAGTTTCTCATGCAGGAATATATTTTTGATTTTCCACAAACCTTTAAGCGCCCACAATTCACCATTCAATATGCCGCGTCGCAGCTGCTGCATTTGCGTAGCGCATTTCTCATGCACTAGATTTGCATTACTAACGGTAGTGAGTGGGAATAATATGTTGTTGTAATTCAAAATATTTTGTAAGGTTAAACTATTTTTGAGCACTTTGTTGGAATTGTTTATATTGGCTGCCAAAGGTTGTAATAAGCTTTTTAGTATAATCAGAATCAGCCAAGTTTTCCACATTTTTACGCGAATATATATATATTTACATATGTAACATATACAATATTTATATAAAAATTAAATTCGTTTCTATGGAATAAGAGTGTTTTTCAAAACTTCTGCATAGTTCAGCAGCTCAAATTAGACTGTGGAATGAAGCATTTCCAATTGTTTTTATGTTTTTATGGTTATTTATGTTATATTTTTCAATATTATTATTCATATGTATAACTACATAACTATTATAATAATTAAGTATTTATGTATGACATGTGCAAGTATGTAAACGTTTGTAATATGACAATATTATGAGCTTAAAGTAATTAACTAGTAGCGGTTGAATTGAGTTCAATGTGAAGTAGCTTAGGAGCTGACTTATGGCTTAATAAAATTGACGGTACATACATTAAGACCAGAAAGTGTTCGGATATTGTTTTCTTCTTTCGATATTGGCGGTTTAATCCGGCGGAATTATGGGAAATTTCGGAAACTTTCATGACGATAATGCGCCACCGAGCTGTAGTTGTAGGAGATTTTAAGACCAAAAACTCATTCAATACCATCGATCGAACACCGTATTCACCGGATTTGGCCTCATTTTTTTGTGTTTCCAAAACTCAAGTTACCACTCCGTGTAAACCGTTTCGACTCGATTGGGGCGGGAAAAGAGAAATTGGAGGAGGGAACTGATGACGACTGCATTCAAGAGTTGCTAAAAATAAACTGGTTGACACATTGCGCTTATTTTTGGCGAAGTAATTAAGGACAGTGCTACCAAATGAACGAAAAAAAAGTGCTGAAAAATATTCTGCGTATACTGGGATGATTTAAGATCCGTAGCTGAAGATTGTGGGCGTAAAGCATGCCTGGCATTATCTATATATATAAAGAGGTTTGTTCTGAACGACAGCCGGATCAACCCACAACCTAAACCATTGATCGTAGAGAGCTGGAACTTGGAGGGTGTGTTTTGCGTGTGGCATATACACTCGATATGAAAAAATTTACGGGAAGTGGATCAGGCAACGATATATTCTGTTTATTTTTAAAACGTTTGATTTACATGAAATTTGGTACAGGCGTAGCTTCCTGTCTATAATACCATTGGGTTCACTGGGAAGTGGGCCTGAGACCAATCTAATAAAAAAAGAAATCGAATTTGGGAACCCTTTTTTTCCTTCCCTTATAGTTCGATTCGCTTGTGGTTTGCTGTTTAATGTGATCAAACTAATTAAAGCCCATTCACAAATTTCATCTAACTAAAAAAATGAGTGAACAACTGTATAATACACCATTTGAACGGCAGAATTTTCCAGTGGGCTTCAGGGGAACGCGAGCGGACGAAGTTAAAGCATGCTTGAAGCGATCTCATTTAAGGCCTTCACTGCAGAAACTCAGCTGATCCAAACGTTTGAGTGTTCCTTTGAGGGAAGTTGTCAATGAAGGACAGTTCTCAGATCTGTTGCTTAAACTAGGAAATGATAATTTCTAGGAAGTGATTAATAATATTATCATTCCTGCAGCATAAGGGACAATGGTTTCAGCTTTAGAGGAGCTTATAGCTTAAATTTAACCAAGCATAAATAATAGTCACGATAAGTTCTCAGACTGGTTATATGAGAGTGCCATACTAACAACAAAAAATGAGAAAGCTTTAGTCACAAATGAAATGCTTTTAAAATCATTTGAAGGGGTGAAATATCGGTACAAATCCGTGCACTCAGTGATGAACACCCACGATGCCATTCATATTCTAGTAGAGCTCCCGAATATACCTCCCTATCGGTTAACTTACATATTGGAATTGAGAGTTGGAGCGTCAAATATGTTACTGCACAAAATAATTCCACCAAAGCTGTACAATGTCACCAGATCACAAGTAAAAGTATTGCATCGAAATGTAGTTGAGGCTACTATATTAAGACGTTATATTTAAGGACAAACTATATTTATACTCATACCTTCATATTACCCCTTGGGCTCTAAGAGAGTGTAGTTTCCCTTCGCAATAACCAAAAACAAAGCTCAAGGTGCAACTTTTAAGGTATCAGGCGTAGACTGTAGAGCAAGCTGCTTCTCTCCTGGTTCTACGTGGTAAGCTCTAGTGTAAGCTCACAGATCCCATGCACTTCGTTTGCATAAAAAATATCAGAATTTAATTGTATTTTATGTTTATATGTACAGTGTACTCGCAAGACCGTGAACTAATTCAAAGCAAGGGTGTTCACATTTGCGAATTTTTGACATATTTGAAAAGCATAAGAATTGTTCTTTTATGATTTATTCATAATTCATTGCTGTCCTTTCTTTTATAAGCATTGTCCTTTCTTTTATAAGCATTGGAAAACTGCTTGCTCCACTAGGCGTCGAGGAACAGGTATATCACTCTGATCAACATCTTCTTCTTCAGTCCATTCTATTGATTTATTAAAGATTTTCATTGCTTCACTGGCACTTATTCTCTTTGCAGAAGCTTCAGTAACAGAATTAACCCTATCGGTGGCGTGTTTCACTATATACCCTTGAAAATTCAATACTAAGGATCTAAACTACGAAGTAGATCAACTGTTCATTCCATTGCAGAATTAATTTCTTCATTCCACTTTATTTTAAGAATATTTAATGGAATATCGGCTACATGATCTGCTCCATTTCCGATAATGTTACAAATATTATTCGAGCTTTAGCTAGATTGTCTGTGCTTACTCCACCTGATAATGGCTAAGTTCTTAATAGAAGTAAATTAGTCTTTTATGTAGCTATCGAAGCTGATCTTGATAGCATTATGATTCACTGGGAAGTCCCATAGGGTGGTGTTGTAAAAACATTGCCACTATGTTTCCATCCTTTGTTTTTAATACCCATTCACTTTTATGAGATGGGGCAATGTTTATTAAGAGCAGACAATTAATCAATAGGCAGATAGAGAAATTAAGCAACATCAATTGTATAACAGTATTATGTACTTACCTGTGGAACAAATGATTGGTAAAACTAATGCTTCAAAAGGATGGAAGTGCCCTCATTTTTGGAGCTCTTATAATCAGAAGGGCATTTATAATTCATAACATAACGTGGCCTTTTAGCTTTTCCAATTATAAATAATTCTAGGTTTTGCGATCCTGAATAATTTGCAAACACTTGAAAGTTTTTCCTTAACTCTGGAGCAGGCAGTTGTTTCAAACGATGACACGTAAGTTTTATCTGGCAAAAGTTTCTAGAATAACCCAAGCTCATCAGCAATATACAGTATATATATATATAAATATATAATAAGCGCTTTGTAAACACATAAGCGATTTTTGGTCGAGTTCCTCCTCCAATTTGCGGTTTCGTGTCTAGATGTTTTTCCAACAAAGGGAAGAACCTACAGTCTATACTAAGTCGCCTCCGAACGGTTGATGGTTTTCTTTATTTCATGTCAGAATTACAATGGGGAGGGGGTTGACAATTCCTGAAATTATGTTTACTTAAGCATTAAATCTCTAAAGTATAATACCTCTTTTTTAAGGTTATAAATATTTAAAAAAATTGCATACAATAATTAACACTATAAATTAAGTATCTTAAAAAACTTTATTACAGACCTCTTCTCACTGTTACCGGTAAAGTCAATTTTGTTACTTTTCTTTATCACCTGAAATTGAATTTGGTATTCTGGCGAACTGGTTACAATGTTTGAAAAAAATTTGGCAGCACTGCTTTTTTCGTCCTTGTCACATTACATTTGCCAGTTGATAAAGTAAAAAGAAAAATATTCACGTCGAAATGAGAGACGGTGCTCAAAAAAATTAAAAAGTTTTATTAATTTGTTTATTAAATCATAAATATTTGAATCTAATTATGCACAATATGCCTGGACAACAAAAATAACTGAATGAAAACGTTATATTACAAATTAAATTGCTATTCTTTTGCCTCGAAAACTTCTAAAAATACGGTTTTTTGCATTTTTTTCTTTACCTTCAATGAATTCCAGGCCTCAAATATGCCTATCCATTTTGGTTTTTTAATTTTTCTCAGACTTACAACACAAAATCAAACAGCAGATTTTTTTGTTACCTCCTATTTCGCTGGTAACAAAATTTACAGGGTGACAGTGAACTCAGAATACGAAATGGTAACAAAATTTACTGAATGGTAAATTTTAAAACCAAAGTAAATTCTGTTACCTCGACAGAGTAAGCCTGTTAAAGGCACTTTCAAATTCCATAAATAATTATATAATGTATTTCTTTCTATACATAATGACTATATTTATTACATCCTAGTTTTAATTCTCAATATTTATTTGATTAGTGAAACGTGCTTACATTAACTAATAACTTTTAAAGGTTTATTGTTTAGCTTTACACATGCATACATATCATATTATATACACATATGTACGAGCATGTTTGTTTTATGGCTATCCTTGCTCCTGCTATATCTGCTCATCCAATTTTTATGGCATATCAATCGATTTTATTGCCGCATTCACTCGTTTACCCAAACTAAAATACAATAATTAGACAATAATCGGATTCTACGAAATACTGCATTTAATGTCCGCACGAAACACAGATTCCCAACCGTTTACCAAATTCCAGACATTTATGAGCCGTGCCGCATCGACAGTTAAAAGTTTCACTTGAAAATCCTAGCGCACATCCTGTTTACTTGCTGCTCATTTCTACTCAATTCCAAAGTATTACTTTTGCATTTTCGTGCTGGTGGTTCACAGCAGTGGCTGGCCGAGGTAAAGCCGACAACAGCGCCTTAGTGGCAGCGTCGTCGTCGGCAGTACATCTTATCAGCTGATGCATCAGCTGTTGCAGTGCAATAAGAATGGAGGCACATAAGTACTTGTTGCTTTTCTTTTCATTGTACTTATGTACATATGTATGTACATAATGATGTATGTAGATAGATGAAAGAATGTAAACAACCGCCCTCTCTACTTGTTGCTTTCATCCGATACAGATTTTTTTTTTGAGTATGTTTGAGTTTTTGTGCAAGTGCCATCATGCCAATTAAAAGAA